AATTCCACTGTTAGGTATATACCCAAGAAAAATGAAAACATATGTCCATACAAAAAATGTACATGAATGTTAAAAGCAGCATTATTCACAATAGCCAAAAAGTGGAAACCACCCAAATGTCTATCAGTTGATGAGTGGTATATCCATACAGTGAAACATTATTCAGCCATAAAGGAGAATGATATATGAGTTCACATTACAACATGGATGAACCTTGAATACATTATACTAAGTGAAAGAAGCCAGACATGAAAGACTATATGTTGTATGATTCCTTTTACACAAAATGTTCCCAATAGGCAAATCCATAGCAACAGAAAGTAGCTTAGTGGTTGCCAGGAGTGGGGAGAGGAGGCAATTGGGGCTGACTGCTAATGGGTGCAAACTTTCTTTTTGGGGTGACGGAAATGTTCTAGACTAGGTGATGGTTGCACAATATTATGGACATACAAAAAGCCCTCACTGAATTGTATTATTTTTAAATGATGAATTTTATGTTATGTGAATTTTTTCAATGAAAATTTTTTAAATAGGTAAAAATAACAGATCCTTTAAAAAAAGAAAAAAAACAGTGTGTTTACCAGGATTAATAGCACATGCACTAGAGATAAACCTCGAGTGTTATCTCAGATTCCTGTGACTGGTACCTTCTTTCTCTTTCTTGGTCAGCGGTCCATCTACACGGGGTTGACCTTCCACTCTGGCTGCTGAAATACAGGTGAGTGAGTTCTTCGTGGAGTGGACCTTGATCAATGGGAGACAAGAGACAGGAAGACATAAATTCTCCCTCCCTTCTTGCTCCGTGGGCCACACTGAGTGCAGCTGTTCCTTGGAATCCTCTGTCTCTCTGTGGCTTGTTAAGTGGTGAGCTGCATAGTAACCTAGGATCACATTATATTTCCTAGCTTCATTTTACCTCTGTCTGTCTGTCTGTCTGTCTTTCCCTCCTTCTCTCTCTCCCTCTCCCTTTCCTCCTTTCTCTTTTTCCTTTACCTTCGTTGTCCTGGGCTTGCTCTTCCCATATAAAGTCTTAGCACCTTTAGTCCTTGCACAGATTCTGCTGTAAAGAGCACCTGGCCTATGGCACTTGGTGAAGGGTGTGGCAAAAGAGGGAAGGAGGGAACATTCTATCAAATATGGATTCTGTTATTTTAGAAGAGACATGGGCATTTTTAAGGTTATATTCATTGGCTTTGAATGAAAAGCTGACTTCTATTTGTGCATAAAAAGTGAAATTACTCTGTCAAATCACTTTTTGAAAAGAACGATTTTTCGCAAAAACTGTTTTCCTCTTTATAAAAGTAATACATGCTCATCAAAAATTTTTGAGCATGCAAATTGAGCAAAAAGAAAAACATCAAAATTACCTGAAATCCCACATCATTTTGGTCTTTGTCCTTTCAGTCCTTTTTCTAATCATAAACAAGCCTAGAAATACATACATTTTTCGCTAAAGAAGGAACAATTTCATGAGTAAAATGTGTTGGTATGACAAAGTGTCAACTACTTTAAGAATTTGAAAACTCTGCATTAAACACATAAAATTCATGGTTAAAAAGTAGTTGAACCCTCCAAGTTTGAAAACTTGCTCTAAACAAATCAGGCCTAAAGAATCAAGCTTGCCAAGTAGAGGTGAATCTCTTTTAATGAATGAAATGGTTGTTTTAACTTCATCCATGATACGTCACCGTGTGTAGGACCTGTGAGCACACTTGGAGATGTGGGCCTTGGCAGGGGTACAAGGTGTGCTCATGACCTGGGCTCCTTCCACATCTTTTACACAAGTAAAATCTAACTAAGGCAGCTATGGTAGAGATCATGGGGGTGGAACATAGGCCTTGTAAATACAGGAAGGGTGTAGAAGACCAGCACCCACGTGTTTGCTTCGTTGACAGGGATGGCAACAAATCCCTGGGTCTGTGTGAGCCTCAGCATATTAAAATGCTGGTGGCATTTAGGCCTCTCCTCACTGGCTTTGTCCCTGCCTGGCTGGCCATGGGACCAAAGGTGGGGTAGAGGAGACATATGGATTGTGATTTGTCATACTTAGTAGTTTGGGGCATTGTCATATTTTTCTGACTTAAGGAAAGCGTGCTTGTGTTGAACCAAAGTTAATTGTACCATGTTTACTTTCACTTAGAAAACTATACTGACTGATTCTGAACAAAACAATAGTAGTAAAAATATTGGGAAATGCTGTTAATACGTGGCATTTACTGTGTGACAGACACTGTTCTTAGTTTTACATGTTAATTTATTTAATTCTCATAGCACATTTTTTTTAAAGCTGCATTTTTTCATTGAAGTATAGTTGATGTACAATGTTGTCTTAATTTCTGCTGTACAACGAAGTGATTCACATATATATATATATATATATATATATATATAAAACATTCATTTTTAAAAGATTCTTTTCCATTATGGTTTATCATAGGCTATTGAATATAGTTCTCTGTGCTATACAGTAGGACCTTGTTGTTTATCCATTCTATATATAATAGCTTACACCTGCTAACCTCAACGTCCCACTCCATCCCTCCCCCAACCCCCTGTCCTTTGGCAAACACAAGTCTGTTCTCTGTGTCCAACTCATAGTACATTTTAAGGTAGGTAGTATTATCCTCATTTTGCAGATGAGGAAACTGGGGAACAGAATGGTTAAGTAACTGGCTTAAGGTTGCACAGCAAGAAAGTATTGGAGTAAGGTTTCAAATCCAGGCATCTAGCTCTTCCCCTCTGTATGTTTACTCACACATAGTCAACACAAGCTGTAAAATGAAGGCTCTTGGATGGGTAGCCATGCCACAGAGGTTGTAGTAAGGTTCATTTCAGATGACATTAAGTAATACATAATGCTTATGCAAAGACTGTGCAGAGGGAGACTTTTAAATTAATAACTGGAAGGAATACTGTGGTTGAGAAATACTTTAATGGAAATGAGACACTTGCAATGTTTGGTATGTGTTGACATCAAGTTTCACATTAAAAAGAACTTAGGTTGGCAACTAGTTGATATTTAAGGTTAAATTATTCAAAATAAAACCAGAAAGCTTTCCTCACCATTCCTCTCGAACTGAGCCCAGATTGTGAGGACACGGGTGTTGGTGCAATTTTTTCAGGGGTCCAGGGGGCTCTGTGCAAATCTGTCCCTCAGGTGCAGCTTCACCCGACCTGATGGATGTACACAGAAGAACTATTGCATTCGCTTAAGATTAGATAATGTTTGTGCCTGTCACTCATAGAGGGAAAG